AACTACACAGTCAGTGCTCACAATATATATATATATATATATATATATATATATATATATATATATATATATATAAGGGAAAGAAGTGTATACCTAAGGGCTCGTTTTTACGTGGTTTAACACAATATTAATGAGATATAACAGACAGTAATGCCAAGGAATGTACAGGGGAAGTTATTAAAACCAATGGAATGTAAATAAGAAGAAAGAAAAGTGGATGAAAAAATTACCAACTGTGAGCAGGAATCGAACCTACGACCTTCGAATTACGCGTTCGATGCTCTAACCACTGAGCTATCACAGCGGCCCTCCCTCCATCCACTTTTTTGGGTTTATCTGTGAATTTAGAAGTAGGAGCGACAGTCAGCGCCATCTATAAGCCAAACAACGAGTGTGAAAACACTCTTATGCGCATGTTCGGCGTCACGTAGCACGTGAACTTATTATGAGCGGGCAGCTGATTAATTGTCCCTCTTATACAACCTAAACACACCAAGTCTGCCAGTACGAGACCCTCGTTCAATGAAATAAGGGAAAGAAGTGTATACCTAAGGGCTCGTTTTTACGTGGTTTAACACAATATTAATGAGATATAACAGACAGTAATGCCAAGGAATGTACAGGGGAAGTTATTAAAACCAATGGAATGTAAATAAGAAGAAAGAAAAGTGGATGAAAAAATTACCAACTGTGAGCAGGAATCGAACCTACGACCTTCGAATTACGCGTTCGATGCTCTAACCACTGAGCTATCACAGCGGCCCTCCCTCCATCCACTTTTTTGGGTTTATCTGTGAATTTAGAAGTAGGAGCGACAGTCAGCGCCATCTATAAGCCAAACAACGAGTGTGAAAACACTCTTATGCGCATGTTCGGCGTCACGTAGCACGTGAACTTATTATGAGCGGGCAGCTGATTAATTGTCCCTCTTATACAACCTAAACACACCAAGTCTGCCAGTACGAGACCCTCGTTCAATGAAATAAGGGAAAGAAGTGTATACCTAAGGGCTCGTTTTTACGTGGTTTAACACAATATTAATGAGATATAACAGACAGTAATGCCAAGGAATGTACAGGGGAAGTTATTAAAACCAATGGAATGTAAATAAGAAAAAGAAAAGTGGATGAAAAAATTACCAACTGTGAGCAGGAATCGAACCTACGACCTTCGAATTACGCGTTCGATGCTCTAACCACTGAGCTATCACAGCGGCCCTCCCTCCATCCACTTTTTTGGGTTTATCTGTGAATTTAGAAGTAGGAGCGACAGTCAGCGCCATCCACTTTTCTTTCTTCTTATTTACATTCCATTGGTTTTAATAACTTCCCCTGTACATTCCTTGGCATTACTGTCTGTTATATCTCATTAATATTGTGTTAAACCACGTAAAAACGAGCCCTTAGGTATACACTTCTTTCCCTTATTTCATTGAACGAGGGTCTCGTACTGGCAGACTTGGTGTGTTTAGGTTGTATAAGAGGGACAATTAATCAGCTGCCCGCTCATAATAAGTTCACGTGCTACGTGATGCCGAACATGCGCATAAGAGTGTTTTCACACTCGTTGTTTGGCTTATAGATGGCGCTGACTGTCGCTCCTACTTCTAAATTCACAGATAAACCCAAAAAAGTGGATGGAGGGAGGGCCGCTGTGATAGCTCAGTGGTTAGAGCATCGAACGCGTAATTCGAAGGTCGTAGGTTCGATTCCTGCTCACAGTTGGTAATTTTTTCATCCACTTTTCTTTCTTCTTATTTACATTCCATTGGTTTTAATAACTTCCCCTGTACATTCCTTGGCATTACTGTCTGTTATATCTCATTAATATTGTGTTAAACCACGTAAAAACGAGCCCTTAGGTATACACTTCTTTCCCTTATTTCATTGAACGAGGGTCTCGTACTGGCAGACTTGGTGTGTTTAGGTTGTATAAGAGGGACAATTAATCAGCTGCCCGCTCATAATAAGTTCACGTGCTACGTGACGCCGAACATGCGCATAAGAGTGTTTTCACACTCGTTGTTTGGCTTATAGATGGCGCTGACTGTCGCTCCTACTTCTAAATTCACAGATAAACCCAAAAAAGTGGATGGAGGGAGGGCCGCTGTGATAGCTCAGTGGTTAGAGCATCGAACGCGTAATTCGAAGGTCGTAGGTTCGATTCCTGCTCACAGTTGGTAATTTTTTCATCCACTTTTCTTTCTTCTTATTTACATTCCATTGGTTTTAATAAGTTCCCCTGTACATTCCTTGGCATTACTGTCTGTTATATCTCATTAATATATATATATATATATATATACTATAAGGGAAAGAAGTGTATACCTAAGGGCTCGTATTTCCGTGTTTTAACACAATATTAATGAGATATAACAGACAGTAATGCCAAGGAATGTACAGGGGAAGTTATTAGAACCAATGGAATGTAAATAAGAAGAAAGAAGAAAGAAAAGTGGATGAAAAAATTACCAGCTGTGAGCAGGAATCGAACCTACGACCTTCAAATAACGCGTTTTCATCCACTTTTCTTTCTTCTTTCTTCTTATTTACATTCCATTGGTTCTAATAACTTCCCCTGTACATTCGTTGGCATTACTGTCTGTTATATCTCATATATATATATATATATATATATATATATTTATTTACACACACACACACACATATATGAGGGAAAATAGAGTACGACTCACGCTGGTTTTGCACGGTACTTTGACAAAGGCTGGTCCACCAGCCGAAACGTCAGTCAGAATATACTGTGCAAAACCAACGTGCGTCGTACTCTATTTTTTCTTATTCTACCGGGGCCAGCGTTACTTCCTTGCTGCAACTATATATATGTATATAGTATTTTGTTGGCACTTCTATTAGAGCTTAAAACTCCAGCAAACATCTGCGGCTAGCCTAACAACGTAGAATAGCAAGTAAAAAGGTAAGGTAAAAATTATAGAGAGTGGCGAAAAAAAAAAACTTCATACCAAAGAAATGGAGCGTTTGCAAAACTCTCTGCATAGCGGCAACTTGGATCGACATAGTATGCCGATGTCTGCCCTCGCATGTTGTCTCGCAAACTTCTCTAATATTTTCTTTAGCACTGTGGTCTAAGATGACCATGTGTATGCGAGCCCTGTGTGACGCGGTGTGTATGACCGTATATAACAGCAGATCGACGCTATATGTTTAGATTTATCGAAGGCTTTTGAACGGGTTGTGCACACCAATTTAATAATAAGCTAATGGAAATGAATATAAATTATGAAGTTGTAGTGTGGATCCGCTCATACCTCACAGGTCGGACACAATACGTGAAAATAAACGGCAACGAATCGGATCTGCTAAACATAACTTCAGGCATACCACAGGGATCCGTTTTGGGACCCCTGCTTTTTTTGATTAACATAAATGATATTGCTAATGATGTGACACCATAACCATCAGGTTGTCCACAGATGGTTGCCTAATATACCGTGAAATCAATAACCAGAATGATCAGGCACCACTTAAGCAAGCTCTTAGAGCCGTAGAAAGATGGGCCACTAAATGGCAAATGAAAATCAATGAATCCAAATCAGTTATGCTCAGAGTTACGAACAGAAAAAAGCATGTAATTAAATGTAAATATGAGATGAATTCCACAGCTCTAAAGGAAGCTGACTTGATAAAATATCTATGCTTAATCATTTCAAATGACTTAAGTTGGAAACCACACGTGAACAGCATTTGTGTAGCTGCAGAAAAAAAAAAGTTATGGTTCCTTCGTCGCAAACTGAAGCTAGCAACAACATTCGTTAAGCTGCTCGCATATTTGACCTACGTAAGGCCAACACTAACTAGAATACGCCAGTGCAGTGTGGGACCCCTTCCAGTCGGGGTTAATAAATCGAATTGAAAAAATACAGAGAAAAGCTGGAAGGGTAATTTTATTGCGTTATTCACGAAGTGACTCGGTTTCTGAAATGCTTCAGTTGCTTGAACTGCCTACGCTGGCTCATCGCCGGAAAGTCGGTCGACTTAACTTTCTTTTTTTGTTATCAAAAGGACACCTTAATATTGAAACTAAACTCTATCTTGTTCCCAGGCCTTCCAGCAATGTCATATCATGCAATCAATTTGTGTATTCGGTTTCTAAATGCAATCTTGATGTGTACATGTATGCCTTTTTTCCACGAACGATAAAACAGTGGAATCAGTTGCCAGTATTAGTACTGAATTCAAAGAACATGGAAAGCTTTGAAAAGTGGATTGAAAATATGTCGTGAACATTGAGTGCTGCTATAGTATTGTACATATATTGCCATGTTGTTCGAAAATACATCACCTAGTTACTTCATATGGCATACTATACCACCTTCACAATATATGTATGTATGTTTTTATTAGCAGCATTTAAATATTTTTCCTTTGTGTATTAAAAATATTCTGTCTTCTATACATACATTGTACTTGTTTTTGTTTTATGTTTACTGTACCCACCCTGTTATAGCCATAACGGCCAACAGTATTTGGAAATAATAAATAAATAATAATATATGGCTTGACAACTGTTAGAGCTCAACTGCATTAAAATTTCTTCTTATCCAAAGCAGGAAAAACACATTTTCAGTTTGTCGGGTACGCAGAAATTGTTCATTTAATTTGGCATATTTACAAGGTAGTGTTGGAAAAATGTTAGTTGCATTTGTGGTGTTCCGCTAGAGGGTCCAGACACCGCTCATTTACTTGGTTGTATTTGTCACTTTTATGGTGCCTTACTTGCAGCTTTCTTTCTGCATATTGTAAAGAATCAAGGATGCTTCTGAAGTGATCGTGATAAACCTCTACAAGATATCACTATGAGACAATAAAATTTTATCACTGTAAATATGGGTTTAACTGACGTCATTAAAGTTCTGACTTGTTCCAATCGAGCTTGTTGAATTTCAGTGCCATTAAACTCATATTACAAGCTGCAAAGCAACTTCGTCACACTGTTTTCTCATTGGCCTTTCACTCCTGCAGCAAATCGACACAGAACACGAGCATCGAAGACTTGCAGAAAACACTCGAAGGCTTGGACTTGGATGAACAGCAGCGCAAGCGGCTAGAGGCATTCCTGTCCCAGAAACAGAAAGTTGGTGAACTTACCAGCGATGACTTTGAGAACCTCGGTGAGCTTGGTGCCGGAAATGGGGGAGTTGTCACCAAGGTGCTGCATCGACCTAGTGGCTTCATCATGGCTCGGAAGGTGCGACCACTCAGCATCGCTACTTGCCAGAGCAATCTTCTAACCTTTGCGTAGCCCCGTCCATACTTCGCTTGGCTTCACTGTCTATGAGATCTATACGATTGTGTCTAATAACTGTGGGTGTTCAGAAGGTTTTCCAGCCATTAGTCTCATGACTTGCTGGTGCATGAGCTGCTGCAGCGAATGTTTCGAAGGCGTCAAGTGGAGCACTCCACAGCTCTTTGATTGCTATCAAGCAACAGAAATGACTAAAAACAAACAAGCAAGAAAAGTGAACGTTCTCGTTCAATCACAGTGTGCTTGTACTCATGGTCAGAAAAAAGAAAATCTGACCAGTGTACTTCCACACTTTTGTGACCAAGTCTATTCCCATAATTGGTATGTTAGCAATGACTTCAAGTTCAAAATTTGGCCCTCTCTTAGAGCTTCTAGACGGCTGCCACCATTTGAAGGGTTAAAGAGGCGATTTATTAAGTTTCACTTTTGAATTTCTTTATCCTGCTGTAGGAGGATTTTTAAACCAACTTTGCATTCAGGGAGGTGAGCACTCATGGTTTCGGTTGTGGCACTTATATGTCGTTCGTGGATGCTTCATGAAAATATGGAATTTTTACGGTTCTGATTAACCTGATCATGAATCTCTGGGTGATGGTAGTAGCACAGATACTAACTCGACTTTGATTCGTCAGGCCTCAGTTCAAAGGGTGATTGTGCGTCAAACCACTCCAGAATATTAGCAGCTATCGGCCAGTGAGCCTCACTGTCTTCTAGGGCTATTTTATTGCTGCCGCCTGTTGATGTAAATGTATTTAATCTATACTAAAGGTCACAACTCTTATCTGCAGAGGGTTAACTTTCTTCGGGTGGGAGTATTAGGCGCCGGCTGTAGAAAAAGCGGAGTTCTCTGTGCTAAGACCGTTCAGAGTGGGCCTTGATGTAGTGCCTTGATGTGCCGTGTAGAGGCTTTTTTTGTTGTTTTTTGCTGCAAAAGTCATCAGAGAGGCATGCCACCACATGCGTAGATGTGCATTTTCGAAAAGCCAATGCAGAGTAAGCTGACCTTTGTTTCACTGCGTCGAGAAACTGCTTTGCTTGGTGGAATGATAGGCACTTTTGCTTATATTTTTGTATGCAAGCAACTTTTGTATTTGCGTTTTGTTTTTTTGGCATCCATGGGTAGTTATTAATCGCCTAATAACGATTTAGTGTGTCTTCGCCGTGCTGTCTTGCTTACCATAGTTTTGCTGCTCACCAACTTGAAAACTAAACATGCATGTGTGGCAACAGTAAATGTTTTATAAAACGTTTACATAAAAATAGGACATACTTTTTTGTTTTCGAGTAAATATACTATTTAGCTTTTGATGACATGGAAATGAAAATAAAGATGCATAGCACCACATCATTTTTGTGAAAAATGCTTGAATCACTCAACAGTTGTTTGAAACTGCCGTGTAGCAGCGCGCCAACTCCATCGAGGCAATTGTGTTGTGCCATTTCAATTGCCATTGACTGCATGGCCTTTCGGGAGTGTACTTTTGACACAGGTCTTACAAGCTGTTTTTTTGTGAGAAATATTTGAACAAGTAGGTGTGCTGGGTCTTCAGTGCTTATGGTGATTCGTTACCATCTCGCGCAGCTGATTCACTTGGAAGTCAAACCTGCCATTCGGAACCAAATCATAAGAGAGCTGAAGGTACTTCACGAGTGCAACTCTCCGCACATAGTGGGTTTCTATGGAGCCTTCTACAGTGATGGTGAAATCAACGTCTGCATGGAATACATGGTGAGTGGCAACTCCCATCAGACTTCACAGTTAAGGTTTACTTTTCTCATCCGCAGAATAATTGACGGCCTTGTTACATTGACAGCCTCAAATGGTATTACGTTAGCAACTGTTTGCAGCGTGTTCATCTTGGCACAGCAGAGAAGTATGTCCTCAACATCGTTCAGATAAGCAAGTGTCTTGCCATTATTGTTATTCACACCGACAAGTTTGTTAAATGTGTGTGCAGTTCTGCCACTTTGAAGCACTCAAGAATACTAGTACTTGGGATCGCTGCTCTTTTATGCTCGTTATTGCTGATAACTGATAATGCCAGATACATCAAATGTTTGGTCTACATGTTATAGCAGCAGGTAGCGCAAAATAACAATGTCACAAACAAGGAACAAGCACACGAGACAAGCTCCATCTCGTGTACTTGTACTACATAGCGGTCATCTAGTGTACTTGTTTCTCGTATGAGTTGTTCTTTCGCGCTATCTGCTTTAGCATCAATTCTTACAAACTAGCCCAGCTATACCTTCTCGTTTACATGACTAAAAAGTGTGGAAGAGCAAGTTAGATAGAAAAAGGTACACATCTGCTTGCATTCCCTTTGCCTTCATGAGGCAGAAACATTTTCCGGTTAAACCAAGCAGTGGCACAGAAGTCCACAAGTGTTTGGCTTGAACTGCGATTCGATCATTTTTGTTTGCTGCTTAAATGGATAAATCTGTAGTTCCAATGGCCTTTGCTGTGCCATGGTTTTGTCAGCTCTGCCAGAACAGCATGACTAACTGTGTTCAATAACATTGCAGGATGGTGGCTCTTTAGATTTAGTGCTAAAAAGGGCAGGCCGCATACCAGAAAAAATATTGGGCAAGGTCACAATAGCGGTGAGTACCACGTTTTCGTGTGATATGCTTGAATTTTTAGATGGTGTGCACTCGTCTGAAAACCACTATTAACGATGGTTGTGAAAGTTGCAGGAGTTCTACTTTGCTTGCGTGTGTGCATGTTTTCTATATTTGCAGAAGAGAATACATGAGAATATTTTTTGTAGGTACTGAAAGGTCTCAATTACTTGAGGGAGAAGCATCAGATAATGCATCGAGGTATGTGTATCACTATTTTCATGCTATAGCACTTCTGTTTCTTTTGTCTGCCTGTTAAATTGGTGTGCTTATAGTATTAAAATTGCTTTTGCGTAGCTAAATGCAATGATGCACATTTAAAGAAAAAAAATAAAACATCGATGCACTGAAACTACGTATAAAAACAGGAAAAAAGATCGACAGGTTGTCCTAGTATTGCAGTAACTGTGAGACAATTTCTTTTTGAAACACTGATGTTCCTAACTACTTTACCTCTTGGCATTACGTAGTGTGCTTCCATACTTATTGTGCTATTGTGCTATTGGTCCATTGTGGTAACTCAGTGACTTAGTTGTTTCAGCTTGCCTATGTCATCGCTGTTTAAATATTTATAAAATGTATTTATTTGCATGTAGGTCTTACATTGCAGTAGTTCTTTCAGGGTTGAAATTAGAACTAACCCAGAACCATCCATGTTGTTTTGCACGACTGTGTAGATGACCACTGAATGTTTCTGCTCTACAACTTGAGCTTACAGCCTCCTAACTCAAGTTTGTACAGTTGACACTCATTAAACGGTACCTATAGACACCAGGAAAATTTATTCTACTGGAGTTTCACTTACTGAGAGATAAATAGGGGGGCAGAATAAAAGTATGAAACCAATCATATTAGAGCCATTTGTTCTATTTCAGCAGCAGTTGTGTTTAAAGGGACACTAAAGGCAAATATTAAGCCGGTGTTGATTGTTGGAATAGCAGCCCAGAAACCTCGTGGTGCTACTTTTGAGCCAAGGAAGTGTTTACATTGGAGTAAAATCACGTTTTAATAGCCCACATCACGTTAGTGCACTTGAACTCGCCCTCCTGAGAGCAATATTTCTCAATTCACTGTTGCCGTGTCAAACGTTGCCCACCTTTACTGCACGGCCGCCAATACCAGTAGCAGCAGAGTGGAAGTTGTGGTAGCCACCGTAGCAACAATGGCCACTGAACAATTTTCCGCCATCTAGGAAGCCATGGTTCTGCGATGGCTTCCAACTGCTTAAACTCAAAGAAGGAAGCTTCGAAAGAATGCATAGGTATGCACTGGGTGAGCTTCTAACAACTGTCACAGTTACTTGTGCACAACCCAATGTCTTAAATATTTTGTTCTTGAAAACTGCCACACATGGAGCATGGTCTCTGAGGTGTTGGACCAACAGGTTTCTCTCCGTCGTCCCAATCGCACGTAGACGGCATAATTTCACAGGTGGGCATGACTGACTCCTCTGCAATGTGCCACTTGCCACCAAAGCATTATCGAGGCAACCGCCGTGATTTTGGTGTGGCTTCGGGCTTCTGATATGATTTCGGGCTACTGTATGATGTTCCACCGACTTATGAATGGTCATTGTGTGCAGCAGTAATGAATGTGTTAGAAACCATACAAAAACATTATGCAAATTCAACATGCTGTGTGTGCAGTGGTGATATCGAAATGTCCTCTCAGTTGCGCAGCCATGGTTATCCTGCGTAGGTGCGCAGCACCACACGTACGGAAAGTAATCGCTGAAACGCTCGGTTTAAGCTGCATGCGCACGGGAAGAAGAAATCTGGTCCAGCCGACATTGAAGAGGGGCGCTAAATGAAGCGACCGAACTTGTCACCCAGCAACAGGCATGCTTTCTTTCCCCTATGTCGCCACTGCTGCCGGGTCTGAAATATCCAGACAGACCTGTTGGAAGGTGAAATCCATCATAATGCTACGCGCTTTCCTTATAGGTTCCTGTATTTCCCTTCCAAACTGGGGGGGGGGGGGACGCTTTGGCACGTGCTTGTTTCGTGTGCAGCTGGAACATGGAACACAGACCTGCAAAATTGCGACCCACCGCTATCGCTCCTCGCACATGTTGTTAAGTTCATGCCTCCTATACATTTGTTTAAATTTGTATAAGTCGAATAACATTAAAGAGACCCATAACCAATTTTTATGGTACCCGTTTTCTTGAGTGCAATGAAAAGTTTACCTGTCAGAGCTTGTAATCATGAAATGGTAATGTAGAAAACACCGTATAACATTTAAAATCAGAATTTTTCGATTTGCGGCGATCATGCACTCTTAAAAAGACATGGTGCAAACAGTGGATGTGATCGCGATAGCGATTATGCGTCAGTGTAATGCCAGCAGTGAGGAAAAGTGAAGCTCTAAGTACAAACACGCAATGTTGTGTTTGTCAAGCCTGCTGTCCCGCGACCACTGGCTTCTAGCGTGCTAATTTACATTAAAAGAGTTACAGAACTTCCCCGGCGCTTCTTATGTAAGTACTTTTGGCCGTGCACGGGGCCAAGTCGAGCCAAGACAAGTCTTCGAAAATGAAATGGCACGTTTACACGCGACCGACAATTCACGCATAGTAGTTCACGTTCGGCCCTAGTTGGTCGGCTTTGATGTCATTGCTTGACAACTCAAGCGAGTTAGAGGAACGAATTTTGGCTCGCATGAGAGCGCAAAATAAGGACCCCTATCAAGTAGCGCCAGAGGGACAGGCTTCGACGAACGACAGCGGTAGCGCCGAATCTGACAAGCAGCATTTAATTATGTCTCTTGATGCATGGGAGGTTCTTTTTTTATTGCAGCTAGTTTGCTCTCACGTTATCCGGATCATTTCGCAAATGTCCCACTAATGGTGCACATCGTGTGATACATTTAACTTAATTTCTTGGCATGTAAGGCACTGCTGAATAATGCTGTTTTAGACATCATATATTAAGCTTTCACTTCGACATAAATTGTCATTTGTTTGTAGTATATTTTGAGAGATTTCCTTCTATTGTGGATATCTGTCTTTCATGCTGAAAGACTTTCAGGCTTGCTGCCAAAGCATGCTGGAGCCTTTCGGTAATGCGTGTATTCACTTCAGGATTATGGAATTTGGTTGCCTTTATTGTAATTTTGGACATCACATCTATTGTGTAGAAAATATAAGAGCCCTACAATGACTTTTATAGTTATTATAGAAACAAACAACTATTGGACGAAACTATCTTATAGATCCCCTGCTGCAAAAATTTTTTTTAATCTTTCGGGCATAAGTGGAGTTGTAGCACAAAATGCGCTCTTTTTTTTTTTTTTTGACCGGCCCATGGAATATAGCACGAACTTGCCCAATATTTCAAGATGCTATTGCTTTTTTGAAATATGACTATACATTCTCTGTTACCTTTCATACACTTCATGTTGCAGTGCCTGTGGCTCTAGAAATTTGTTCAATAAAATAACAAGCACTGCTCATTGTTGAGCTGAGTTGGTTCTTTGTTATATCACTTTCAGACGTCAAGCCATCAAACATGCTTGTTAATTCTAGGGGTGAGATCAAAATTTGTGACTTTGGTGTGAGTGGGCAACTGATTGATTCCATGGCAAACTCCTTTGTGGGAACACGATCTTACATGTCGGTGAGTCTCATTGCTGCCCCGTCTGTTCTGCATGCATGAGCGTAAGAAAGTAATGTGAACTGTTGCTGTGCCATTGAAATGAATGTGTGCCACATGGCATTAAGTGAGTACCTGCTATAGTGGTCTAGTGGCTGCCGTGCTTGACTACTGACCTGAAGGTCATGAGATCAAATTGTAGAGTCAAAAATGCCTCAGGCTCATGTACCTAGAATTAAATAGGTGCATGCTAAAGATCCCCAAGTGTTGAAACCTCTAGAGCCATTCAGTGTGGAGTCTTTCATAACAATATTATGATTTTGGGATGTTAAATGCCAATAATTACTGTATATCATTATTACGTTCTATAGAATCAAAGCTTGTTAATTCAAATTTTATGTGTGTGCCTGCTGAGTTCCCCCGAGGCGGCGTTGCCGACTTCCCGGCTCAAATCAGGCTCGAGCGCTTGCCCATTGGGGCAGGTTTTTGTGCATGTGCCTCTGAGGAAGAAATGACACTGGCATCTGTGCTAGTTGTGCCCCACTGTATAAAGCACTTTAATATATATAAAGATTTGCTTATGATGTCATCTGTTGCAAAATCCGTGGACTGATGCTGCTAAAACTCTTGATATCGGTCGAGCTGCCACAGCACTTTGGAGAACTCTTTTCCATCACAAGTGGCTCATAATAAGATGCAACATACGTTTCACATGCCATTGGCTTCCCATTCAGTCATTACTAATATACTTTCTCACACTCGTGACAGCCGGAGCGACTCCAAGGCACGCACTACACAGTTCAGTCGGACATTTGGAGCTTGGGCCTGTCATTGGTGGAAATGGCACTGGGCCGCTACCCGATCCCACCACCCGATGACCGAGAACTGACTGCCATCTTTGGCCGCAACTACACCCCTGAAAGTGAGTGCAAACTGCTGCAAATAACTGGCCGGCCTTGCTGTCATGTATCTTATTTTAGTTTCGTATAAGCTTTAGTATCGCGGGCCATTTCAAGAGGTCGCCCCCACAGTAATCAGGCCTGGATGTACAACTTCCCGCATATGGTCCCGAACCTTTGCATTCATTCTTTAAAAGGTGTGACACTTAATGTTTATGGTGCCTGTCTTATAGTGCTACGAAAAGTTTACTAGGAAGTGTCTGATCATATTTTCGTTATGCAGAAAATGTTGTGGGATACATTCTTCTAATTTTTCAGTAGCCTGATTCTTTTCTGTCTGTTCTCGTGCCTTCAATTCTTCCTTGAAAGCCAATAACCTTTTGTGTCTCATAGAAGGATAAAAGCACCCTGTGTATGTATGACCTCACTTGCCTAAAAGCACAGAAGTGTCTTGCCATGCAATGAGGGACTACACAACTTGTCATGTGACAGGGGTTCAGCTCATTGATGTGAAAAGAGCAATGCTTTGAACTTCTTTATTGCACAATATGTACAGCAGAATGGGGAAATGCCTACCTAAAGTTGCGAATACAATAGTATGTTATCAGTAACCTATTGATGGCAGACCATATTGGATTTTAACCCTTGGGGTGTCGAATGTTTTTCAGAAATGCTTTCTCAGGTAGCTAATTAACTTCATTGCAGTTTTTCAATATAATTGTATGAAATGCGTAATGATGGGAAAAAATTGTTACAATGAAAAACACTTTTTTTTTGTGCAGTTTTGGAACTGTTTTTGGCATTACTTGAGCTGCTCAAGCTGGAAAACATTTATAAGTATTTCAGAGCGTGACATTCCTTAAAATATAAGCGTACGCCCAGCGTCTCATTGCAGTCTGCACACTTAAGACGCATCTTTGTTCTCTTCTTGGAGCAACAAATCGTGCTGGCAAACACGCGGCATCTCTGTGTGTAGCTGACCTAGGAACAGTAAACTCTGTGATTAAGAATAAGGAGAATACCTTGTAAGCGTCAGTGACAAACAAGCTATGGGCAGCGCTAATAAAGATACATATTAACTTTCACCGCTCGTGCGAGGATGTGTTCATAAAGATAAAAAGTCAAGTTTTGCACGCCTCCGTTGTGGTCATGTAGTGAAACCGTAACCATGAAAAGGCATTGCTCAATGGCCTTGCCACATACTGCACGATGCCCTGGTGATAGAAATAAATTGTGTTTATCTACACAAGAAGGTGTTGCACTAATTTCTAATGCTTTTAGTAAGGCCTGGGAGGTGACAGCACCTCCCAGTGAGCATGGGGCGAAATTTATAGTGGAGGGTCGGAAATGTACCCGTCCGGCAAAGACGATGCAGAACAGGAAACTATTGCTGTACATGTTCACCAAAAACACTTGAAGGAGCATTGGTGATCGAACATTCTAATGTAAGGCTGATGTTCGTGCTAGCTACAAAACAAGCTCAAACACTCATCTCATCTCATCATCATCATCATCATCATCAGCCTGACTAAGCCCACTGCAGGACTAAGGCCTCTCCCATGTTCCACCAGTCAACTCTGTCCTGTGCTTACTGCTGCCAATTTATACCCGCAAACTTCTTACTCTCATCTGCCTACCTAACCTTCTGTCTCCGCCTAACCCACTTGCCTTCTTTGGGAATCCGGTCATTTACTCCTAATGACCAGCGGTTATCCTGTCAACACGCTACATGCTCGGCCCATGCCCATTTATTCTTCCCGGTTTGTTCCCTAATCCACTCTGCTCTCTTCTTGTCTCTTAATGTTACACCTACCATTTTTCTTTCCATTGCTCGCTGCGTCGTCCTCAATTTAAGCTGTACCTTCTTTGTAAGTTTCCAGGTTTCTGCTCTGTAGCTAAGTACCGGCAAGACGCAGCTGTTATATACCGTCCTCTTGAGGGATTGTGGCAATCAACCTGTCATGATTTGGGAATGCTTGCGGAATGTGCTACACCCCATTTTTATTCTTCTAGTTACATCAGTATCGTGGTTCAGCTCTGCGGTTATTACCTGTCCTAAGTAGACATTCCGTATTTACTCGCGTAATCCTCGCACTCGCACAATTCTCCCGCCCAACAAAAATCCGATTTTGTTTCCTCGAATAAATATCGCACCCCGGAAAACTGCCGCAACAATGTCGTCTGCTGAGGCTGCTGTGGTAGCTCAGAGGATAGAGCATCGAACGCGTAATGTCGTCTGCTCATTCCAGCCACTGATGATGATGTGTGTACCATCTGGTGCGATCCCTTAAGCATCAAGCGTATTATTATTAAATGGAGATTCAATCCAATCCAAGCCAAGCCAAAGTGGCAAGTGCGCACGTTGGGGCGTGTTTTGTATGTTGTGTCACGCGTTAACCCTAAATCGCGCACAACACACCGCTTTGTCTTGCCACTTTCCGCAGCCACGCCGAGCTACCCCTTTTCCCCACACATGCAACCCCCACTACTCCCCGTCCCAATAATGATGATGATGCCGTCACGTAACGCCCTCTCTCGGCCAAGTCCCGATGATGATGATGCAGCCATCACCTAACGCCATCTCTCGGCCACCCTCACAGGTTCCCCCCCCTCGAAATTTGAAGCCACCACTACACATCGCCTGCAGCTTCATGGTAGAGTGTCAGCTGATCTGCGTGTCTCACACCGTGATGACGACCCGTTTTGGGGTCCACTAGAACAAAGTCATTTTGTCCTACACGTCTCACTGACCGAAAGGGACCAGAACGCCGGGGTGCAAGCTTCGAGGAGAAGCCCTTGGTGGCATCGCTGAGGGAGTGGCTTTCGAGCAGAACAAGATCGCCCTCCTGTATTGTCAGTGGCCGCCTGTGCTGGTCGTAGCGAGTCTTCTGGGCTCGCCAAATGTGGTCCTGGTGTGCCCTGGAGAAGTCAAGCACCTCCTGCAGACACTTGGAGACCTCAGTAGCAAATGCACGGTACGCTGTCGCAGGAGGCTCCGCGTTGTCTTTGGCCTCAGCCTGTGTCCATGGGGTTCTCAGCTCCCGGCCATAACAAAGGAAGGCAGGCGTGTAGCCCGCCACAACGCTTTCAGTCGTGCGCATGGCCAGGGCAATTTCAGGGATGTGCTGGTCCCAGTTTTTGTGGTTGGAACAATAAGCCCTAAGGCACTGCTTGATAGTGCCAATGTGGCGCTCCACCATTTGCCCGGCAGGGCGGTACGGAACAGTGTGTCGGTTTTGTATGCCCCAGTGCTCAAGGAGCCCCTTCCACAACCTGCTTACAAAGGGCTTTCCATTATCACTTGAAATGGAGACAGGTGTGCCATGCCTGCATAAAACCTAAATCATGCAGGCCACCACACTCTTGCTATTTGCTGTCCGTAATGGGAAAAAGTTCAGTGAACTTGGTGAACTTGTCAATCACCACGAGAAGGTACTTGTGGCGTCGAGGTGTCATAGGCAAGGGCCCAATTATGTCCACGCTGAGCTGTTCCATGGGGGCAGTGGCCTATTGGCTGCTCATCAGCCCTTCTGGCTTCTGGCAGTGGGCTTTGGTTTGCTGACAAACCTGGCAGCATCGCACATACTTGGCTGCTCAGCAACCCTTCTGGCAGTGGGCTTTGGTGTTCTGACAAACCTGGCAGCATCGCACATACTTGGATATGTCCGAGCGCACACCCAGCCACACGAAATTCTGAGAAATGCGTTTGAGGGTCTTAAAAAAGCCGGAGTGGCCGCTAATCGGGTGGTCATGAGACAGGCGCAGGACCAAGTTGCAGAGATGGGGTTTGGTAGCCAAGGTACTTTCCTGTTCCCTTGGTGCTGTACAAGCAACCCACTCTCTTCCATCTCGGTCGTCTCCGCCAGGTCTTCGATCAAAGGTTGATCACTGTCAGTGGGTGCAAGCTTCCCTTCCTTTATCACAGTTCGTAGTTTTGACAGTATGGGGTCCTGCTTTTGTTCCTGGGAGAGGAGCCCTGCATCATTCAAGACAGTAGTGTCGTCCACTTCAAATGCCACAGCAGCTGCCTCAAAGCTGATTTGTGGGCTGGGCTCTGGAACAGCCATAGGGAACAGTGTCTCGTGTCTTGCACATTTGCAAGACCCCGCCTGTGCTTGATCCTGCAGTTGAAACCTTGCTGCCGCAAAACCCAACGCTTTACACGTGGTGAGGCCTGGTCTGTAGTGAACATCCAGGACAGTGAGGAGTGATCACAGTGTATTTCAAACTCGGTGAACTCAAGGTATGGTCGTAACTTGTCCCCTGCCCGCACCACAACCAGACACTCCCATTCTTGCACTGCATAGCGCTGCTCTGCCTCAGTGAGGACCCTGCTAATGAAGCTTATTGGACGTAGTGGAGCATCACTCTTGGCTGCCTGCAGAAGCACCGCTGCAATGCCGAATCCACTGGCGTCCGTTTCCACCACAAATGGTCTGTTAAGGTCCGGCAGGTTTACAACAACATCGTCGGCCAGGGACTGCTTAAGTGCCCTAGAGGCTTCCTCTTGCTGCAGCTCCTACCGCCAACGTTGGTTTTTCTTAAGCAGTTCTGTGAGTGGACACGCAGTGATAGAAAATTGGGGTATGAACCCTCTGTAATAGCCTGCTAGTCCCAGGAAGGCCTGAAGCTGTTTGAGTGTTGTTGGTTGAGGATAGTCCTGCACCGCGAGCACTTTTTCCTTGCCCGGCCTACACTGCCCGGGCGATATTCCATGGCCAAGGAATTTCAGGTATTGACAGCACACGTGCACTTTTTCTGTGTTCATGGTCAGCTGTGCCGAACTTATCCGCTTCAACACCTCCTGTACATGCTCAAGATGATCCTCTAGGGTCTCCGAATACACCAGGACATTATCGAGAAACGCCATGGCAAACTGGTGATTGATTCCCTCCAGTAGTCGGTCCATCAGGGTCTGGAACGTGGCAGGACCTCTGCAACTCCAAAGAGCATTGTCATGAACTCGAAAGTTCCCCGATGGCAAATGAGCGCTGTCTTTGGAATATCCTGCTCTTGAACAGGGATTTGAAAAAAACCCTGTGAAAGATCAAAACTTGAGAACACCTGGCTCGTCCCAGCTGTGCCAGCAACCAATCAGTCCTGGGCATGGAGTAGACTGGCACCTTAGTGCGTGCATTCAGCTGGCAGTAATCCACAGCCATGCGGTAGCCACCAGACTTCTTCTCAACCAGGACTGGAGCACTGGCATGCTGACTTTGGCTAGGGCGGATCAGGTTCTGTGCAAGCAGATTGTGAATGCAGTTGTCCATGATGGCCTGCTTCTTGGCATTCACTGGTCGCAGTTTGCATCGAACAAGTGGGTTGTGTCCCGTGTCTATGCGATACTCTGCCAGGGTTGTGCAGCCCGGAGTGGTGGTGAAAATTTCACTTAACTCTTCTAAAACGTGTTTCATGCGTGGGTCTAGGTCCGACGAGTGGCCGGGAATGATCACATTGCAGGCTGCAGTCCCCTCCGGCACACTGGCACACACACTGGCATCGCCCTCAGCGAAAATGCTCCACTGCCTCTGGCTGTTCCTTAACGGCCTTTACAAAGGGCACAATTCTTTGTGGTTCTGTGTCGACCGTCCAGCCACCAAGTGACACGTGCAGAGAGATCCACTCACCGTTAGGAAATCCCTACCAAGGACAACGTCATGGCACAGTTACGAAAAATGTGGCCGAATCCACCACAGCGATGGCACTGCACACGCATTGGTCCACTCGTAGGCTCCTGCCGCGACATTGGTCCCGGCCCGTAGGGTGAGAACGGAGGTGCTGTGTCGCACGAGTAATGCCGGTCCCGGCAGTACGACGGGTCTAGCGCAGCTGGATGCAGTGGCCAGGAATAAATCGGCAGCATCGGCGAGGCAGCAGCAAACGAAGCGAACGACGCTGCGCCATAGTGATCGGCTGCGGCAGTGAGCGATAGTCGAGGGCCAGGCTAGGGCAGAACGCCAGATCTCTGGCTACTTGGTTGCTCGGAAGTGGCGGTGGTCTGTACTGGAGGCGATGCCAAGCCCGCTCCATTAAGCCGTCGGCCACCTTCACCAACTTGGCGAGGTCGTTGTAGGGATGCCCCTCCGCCAAATCTTGCAGCTGATGGTGCATCTGACTCAGTACGCGCTGCACCTTTTCGGCTTTGGAGACCTCTTCACCGATGTGGTCGTAAAAACGTAGCGATCGCATAAATAAACTCCTTCAAATTCCCTTCAGGGTGCTGCGTGCGCTGTTCGAGCTCCGCCTTTAGGCGACGCTTCGTGTAAATCGACGAGAACTTGGAGCGGAAGGCGGCAGTGAATTGCTCCCACCAGTCAAACCCGCGCACGAACCGCCACCACAACTTCGCGCTGCCCTCGAGGGCAGCCGGTACCACGGGAGTCAGTCGCTTATCGGCGGTGACCCCCGTCACGAGGTAGAAGTTTTCCAGGCGTTCAAGAAACTCCTTTGGCGACTGCAAGTCTCTTAACGCCTGAGTAGCGGGGGAGGTGCGCAGCGGCAAGCCGAGGCGCAGAGTCGTCGGCGGCTCGAGGGACCGCGCCAGTGTTAATGATCACAGTCCATGCTCCCACGTGCGGAGTTGTGGGCAGCGGCGTTGCCATCACTCGATCGCGCACGACCGCCGCGATTCGTTCGCGCTCCGTGGTGGAGCTGTTGGAGCCCAGCAACAGCTCTTCAACGACACCTTGGAGCCTAGGCATGTTGTCAGCTGCTGTTGTCGGGCCTGAAGCCATCCCAGACGAGCCCCCACTTGTCATGCGCTAACCCTAAATCGCGCACAACACACCGCTTTGTCTTGCCACCTCCATAACCATGCCGAACTCTCCATTTTCCCTACACACGCAACCCCCACAACTCCCCGTCCCAATGATGATGATGATGCCGTCACATAACGCCATCTCTCGGCCACCCTCACAGTTGTGTCGGTAATCTTGTCACGTTATGGGGCGATACTGGAGCTACACGGCTGCTTTCAAGTTGAAAGTAATAGGTCATGCACTAAACAATAGCACTTCACCGCTTTGACGCTTCCTTCATTCTTTAGAGCATGTTCAATTCTCTCCATATTATGCCTTCTTACAATGGATTCCTTACGCTTATCAATCGCGTCCTTTGCTCTTGTGGCTTGGCTGACAGAAGAGAACTCGGGGTGGGGTTCCTTATTCACAGAAATATAGCTGGTGACATAGAAGAATACTCATCTCATGCTCACAGTCTTATCAGGACAGTATAAAATGATCGCTAAGTTTCCCAGCATGGCTTACTCTGAGCAGTGGCAATAGTATGTGCAACAGTCCTTCTAGGTGGAGCCTGATCACACACACACACACACACAAAAAAAACACTTGTGTGCATGGCACTTCAACATCTCGTGCTTGGCTCAAAGGTCTAGGCACCCTAGAAACTGAGCTCTAAATAATGTCACGACCTTGACAACTTATAGCAGCTCGGCGCAATTGCCAATGAAGACAACGAAGTGGCGTAAAATAGACCTCCAATGCCAACTCAGTTTTTTGTGATTTTGTCCATGAAAATATGATATTTTCGAGCATACTGTCGTACCCTGCTATAACGAAACTGACGGGGCCCGGAAAAAATTTCGTTGAAGCGAAAATTTTATTGTAGTGAAATCGAAAACATTATTGCTGATCTGAGCTAGCAAAACAAAGAAATCTTTATTTTCAAAATTAAAAAAATGCCCGCTGCTTCCTATTCTTTCCCAGCAGCATCACGATGTGATTATCACCCATGCATAGCGAGTCCATGGTGAAAAGCAAGCTGAAACAACGCCTAAAACCGCTTTCGTGAACGAACCAAACGGCATTAACACGTTAACACCAGCAGCTGTCTGTCGTCAAAAGTATCCAACAATGCCGAGATGAAGGCAGAGTATTGTGGAGCGGCGACTCTTGCATTATTTTATGCCATTCTTATCATACATCACTCGCGGCTAGCTGATTTTGTTGATAATGCGGACGAACAGCCGCTCTGATTAGTTACCACACTGGCCAAGCGCGAACATAATCATAAGCATCGGAATCTGAAAAGGCATTATGCCGCGGTTGCACCCAGCAGCTGTGTGAAGAAAACCATGAATTGAGCGACCGAGCTTCAGCTTCGGATCGTCAGCGGCTCAAAACAAGCCAGTGGCAAAACAAAAGCAGGGCAGTCTCATTGCCATCACTAACGAGCAATAGCGGTGCCCATGCTTGCTGAACAGCGGTGGTATAGCGGCGTTTCTGGTGGTGCCAATGCATGTTTTAGACTTTGTTGACGCATTTTCAGGCTCTGAAAATGCATCAAAATGTTGAAGATTGGGTTTACTGCATAGCAATAAGTGTATGAGCCTGGAATTGCATCGTGAAATTTCGTTGAAGCGTACAATCGAAGAAAAGGTGTTCGTTGTGGCGACAATATTTATGCATTGACTCCTATGGACTGCTGGCGGGGAATCGTGAATTTTTCGTTGTAGCAGAAATTTCGTTGAAGCGGTGTTCGTTGTAGCAAAGTTGGACTGTACTCTATTTCTTATGTTTTATTTAGCAAAATTTATTGTTCACTGGCAATACGCTAAAGGGGCCCTGAAACCCTCTTTTGAGTAACCACGGAATTAATTCACTGGAAAAGCGTATTACCTCACAAATTCAATGGCACAAAAATTATAAGAATCCAACAGTACAAGTGAAGTTACAAAGATTTGTCACATGCTGCAATCGCATTCTCTTTTTTCTGGTCCCGATAAAAGTGCTGGAAGTTAAGCAGGGAGGGATGGGAGGGGCAAACAAAAAACGTCGCTTGCGCCTTGTGACCTTCGATTAGAATACAAGGCTTTTTCAGTGCGATCGCACGCACACGTGTGGACAAGTGACGGCCTTTCGTGGTGATCTCTCTAACGATTGAACGTGCCATGTTCAAATCGGCCAATGGCTGATAGATGGGCTTACTACGAGTGATTTTCGTGCTTATTGTGTGATTTGTTGAGAAAAGAGAAGCTATTTTTAACTGACTTTGATCATTTATTGTGAATTACAGGGTGCGTGATGCACTATAATATTTGGCTCGTGTGTTGTCGCGAGCCTCTACTACTAATGGGCAGCGTCTTCTGACCATGCTCAAAAAGTATTGTAGGGCCCCTTTAAGCAAGCTACAACTCATCACTTGTGATTGTGAAGTGCATGCAAAATAGTTCTTCAGTCGGGCCTCAAGCACTGATCACTAGTTTTAAGCCAGATTGTTTTATGAGCAACGTGCCTATAAATGACTGTTTCGTGTTGAAGATTATTTTCGAAGATATAGAGGAAGCAGGTGTGTTAAGGGGGTTTTCTTTTTTTGCAGGTAACTCCGGCATGGCATCAGGTGATGGACCACGGCCAATGTCAATCTTCGAACTTCTCGACTACATTGTTAATGAAGTGAGCAATAATGCTTTTATTGTTCATTGTTTACAATATTGTTCTTGAAATCTCTCAAGTGAAATCTTTCAATTAATGTAAGAGTGCCAAAATAGGTGCAAATTATATTAGTGCTAGCCGAAGTTTCTACTCTTGTGTTGAAGGCTGCTTGTAGCAAAACCTTGTTAATTTGGTACCGGCAAAAAGTGCCTAAATTTACCGCAAGCTGAATTTTCGCGAGATGTGAGATTCAAGAAAATCACGAACAAATGTCTATTGTACGAATACACTTATATTTTCTCCATTATTGTGTGAATTCGCTTGTCATGTTGCATAAGAGCTGTGTAAAAGCTATAATTCCCGTCATCCTCTGACTACCTTCACAAAGGAACCACAACAGAAGACTGACTTCTATTAATTAATCCGAGACAGGCTTAGGACCTTTTCTTTGTCACGAACTGCGACCACAAACACCACCTTGCACATGTGATAAATTTTTCACAAGCATTATGGCCTGCAACAAATCGTTCGTCTATCGTGATATAGCGAGCAAGTTTAATGTCATGTGGACAGCGGCTGAAACGCTCATCAGCAGCTTCCTCCATGTTTGAGTGTTGTCATATTGCATGTACATTGCACAGAATAAGAACGAAGCTGCTGGGTGCCACAACTGCTGTGAAAGGAACTGTGGTTGCTAAAAACGCAACCTTAAGCAGTGCTCATGCAGCTCTCAAAGCACGTGTGCAAGCTACGCACATTGAATCTGAATTTAACTACTGAACACTGCTCTGCATCTGCTGTGGACAAAATGGTGATTGCTAGCATTGTAATTGCACGCAGTTTTCAAGACATGTAGCCCGCACACGCCAAATGGAGAGGTCACTGCTAGGCTTGTGCAAATATTGAATTTTAGGTTCGAAGCGAATAATGATTTCGATCGAATAATTTCGAATTGAATTCGAATTGCATGTATCACATAAAAAAAGGGGAATATTTATCATGACATAACTAACCTGCACAATATTTCTGTTGAATTGAAACGGGAGCTATATGCAAATGCCATTTCTTTTTCCCTTTCGAAGGAAGTCGAAACAACCTTGAGTAGTAGTTTCAGTAGAATGCGAGTAATAACCTGTATGATACTTAATGTTTTGAAATTTATTATACTTGGAGCATTTAATCCGTCATAACAAGCTTAATAAAATGAATTGATTTGAGGGTAACATGTTCCTTTAAAGAGGCCGTGCAACACTTTTCAAGTAGCAATGGAGCCAGTAAACATGCTTGTTGCCTCACAAATTTACCGCCGCAAAGTTTCTTGAATCAATCCAGTTCGAGCGGTGTTCTAAAAATTTGTCGCATGTTGCAATGTCATTCTCTCTTCTCGCCCCGACGAAATAGCTGGAAGCTAAGCGGGGAGGAATGGCACGGCGAAAGAAAATACGTCGGATGCACCTCGTGACCTTGAGCACCTCTTTTTTCTTTTTTCGAATACGCGGCTTTTGAGTGCTATCGCGCATATACTCGTGGACAAGCGGCAACCTCCCGTGACGGCCCCGGTAACGACAAACACGCCATGCTCAAATCAGCCAATGGCTGTGACCAGAGCCATATTCGCGACTCCAGCAATTCGTGCGGCGCCTAGCGGCAATATAGGGAAGCTGTGTACTGAGGTCCAAACAGTCATGCGCCAGTCGTATACAGTAGGAGCACGACAAGATGGTGCCGCCCGTGAAGAAAAAACGAACTGCCAAGCAGATTTCTTCTTTCCAGGTGAAGCACCAGCGTTAACTTGTTAACTCGAACCTATTAAATGACCATTGCATCTAGCGACATGTAGTCACTGGACTACATGTCGCTTTGGCGCCCTAAGTATGTAAACAAATTTCGAGACTTAGTGCGTAGTGTGCATTACATACACAACGCGACCACTTCAAGAACTCCGCTCGCGCTTGTGGGACCACTAGTGCCGACTAAAATAAGGTGCTCTGCATTAATAACCCACTCCCGTTCTACAAAGCAGCGCGAACTACAATCAAACTGCAGAAAACTCGGTATTTGTGTTAGCGACAGCGGACATGGCGACCTCCGTGAATCCACCATGCTGCAACTCCGCAGCGACCTCTCTGTTCATTTGGGTTGCCAATATTCCTTCTTGCCTGTGACAAGTGACTTTTGAGCTTGTAGTGTCATTTGCCGAGGGAAGAAAGAAATTTTTAGCTTTGAAAATTTATTGTGAATTACAGGCCGTGGGATGCGCTATAATATTTGCTTCGTGTATTCTCGGTAGCCTCGACTACCGATCGGCAGCATTTTGTGACCATGTTCAACAAGTGTTGCAGGGCCCCTTTAAATTTGAAGAGGGGCTTCGCGGCAAAGCGAGTTTCTCTTGAACAGGTGCTTTCACAACATAGCATTCCTACATTGCAGTGAAACCACCTTTACAGGTGGTTACATGCGGACTAATCATTCAGACCTCATTAAAACGAAGTTGAAGGGGAGCCACAGTTATTTCGTTACTTTCATTATTTCCTTATCTCGATTATAACAGTTTTTCGCAATGTATGCTCAGATGGGCGCACACCTATAAGCATGCAAAGAAGGAAACCGCTTCGCGGCCTGATGTACCGTTACGCGACCATGCGTGCGACGAAAAATAAACAGTCGAATATCACTGCACGTAGAGACCCTTCTCCTTTCAAGGCCGCGTGCAGAGAGAGAGGGAAAAAAAAGAAAGCTGTCGTGGAGAGTCCTTCTTTCTCGGTGCAGAGGGTAGCAGCGGAGACGCAGTCGTTGCCGTCGTCTTTAGAGAGTGTTGGTGCTGAACTTAGCCGTGTGTTACTCCGCTTTGCAAACTGCGTGCGAAATAATTGATTCGCTGCAAGGCAAATGCGTAAAGAGGTTACTTCAATTAAAGGGCCAGTAAACAGGCTTCAACTTTTTTTTACATCCACCATACAAGCTCGGCGACTCGTAGATTAGATCGCAGCGATCATGTTTTTTGAATATTACAGCACTGCTCGCTGTGCAGAGTCTCTATTTCGAAAAACGATTCCCACTCATCTTTCCTACGCCAGACCGACCCCCTTGCACGCGCAGTGACGTCAACACGGCCATCGGCGACGTGACGTAGCATGCAGCTCGCCGATTGGTCTAAATCGGGTGGGAAAAAACAGGAGTGAATTCGACGTCAGTTCCTGTTCCCACCTACAGCTACTAAACTGCCCATTGTTTCTTGGCACTGTGGTGAAAGAACCAGCCTTGCAGTTATCGCGTGCACGTACGAAGTACTTCGCCCTTGACATGAGCGACACGGGTAAAAAGCATTGCTTTGTTGTCGGCTGGAAATCAAGCAACTGGGCAGCGGAGAAGTATCGGCACAGGGTGCCTCACGATGGGGCCCTGCGTGCTGCATGGCTGAAACGAATTGGCCATCCAGCCACGTACGTCGGGGACCTGATCGTTTGTGGTTGACACTTCGCACCTGACGCTTCCACGTGTACCCGCGGCTGGTGCGGCAAACGCTAAACAAACAACCATGCTTTGTAGCAAGTGGAAGTGCGTTGCGACTGATTGAGTTCACCGATGACGTCAATCGCTGACGTGGTGTCAGGTTGCGGAAGTGGGCGGAGTCACGACGATGGGCTACGCCTTCCCCTTCATGGAAGGGAGAAGGGGGGTGAGGCCGCGTGAAAATTTGAAACCAGCTTAGACTGATGTTCTAACTCTTGTAACTTCCTTAATATAGCATGTATTCGCAAAATTCTTGCGGCAGCATGTTCGAAAAAAAAAAAAACCTACACATATATCTCTTAAAAAAGTTTTGGGACCTCAGGGCTGTTTATTGGCCCTTTAATGACGGATGTTCTCTGATTTGTGAATAAATGTAAGTATTCTGAAACTTCCTCACCATGTGTTCTTAAGTGAAAGAGAAATCGCTTTGCACCGCGGCTTCTCGGTCATGTGACCTGCTGAGCGCTTCCTCATTCCTCTCGGCTGGCTGTGTGAGGAGGACGGCTCTCTCTGCCGCACGTGGCGTGGCTGTAAGGTCGGCGCAAGAGTTTTGAATGAGCCGTGCCGTATGAGCGTCAAACTCCGCAGAAAAGGATATACTAAACACACAATGATGGTTTTTTTTATAGACTATTTGATAGACTAATTTAGCTTGTTATATCCATTTACCGGTCAATTTTACTTTGTTACCAGGAGGTTTAAAATGCATGGTTCTCAAAGGAGCTTTCAAGGGAACTTTCATTTACTTTGTTATATCTATTATTTCGTTATATCCCATTACATTATAACGAGGTATGAGTGTACACCTATTCATTTATTGCAAATACTTTGAAAATATTCGATAATTCAAACCTGAACCGAAGCAAATTCAAATACTTAACTATTCGTTTGAATATTCGAAGCATTCGAATATTTGCACAAGCCTAGTTGCTGCTGTTTGCCAGCCAAAGATTCAGAATCATGGATGGTGGCCTATGCAGGTCTGAAGGCGTATGACAAAAACGCTTGGAGGATAGTACTTCCATTTTGCTTTGAAGAGCAGAATGTGGTATCGTAAGCGGACCGTGTTCGCATCGCCTTCCCAATCACTAGCCTCGCTTGGCATTTCAGTAAACTCCCTAACTGCGCTGCGAAGAAAACGGAACTGTGGATGCCATTCTCCTCCTTTATCTATGCATACGGCATGACGAAACACGGTGAGGGGAATGTGCACTTGGGTCATTTTTGGCCTCTTAGAGGGAAATAGTAGTCCAGCATTTCTCATGCACCTTCAAGATATATGTACCATCAACAGTAAATGGTGTATATAACACTCAAACCTCATTATAACAGAGTTGCATCTTACACGAAAGTAAGTTTGTTACATTCAAAAATTTGTTATAAAGGTTTATTCCTAACACAATATCTATTGCAAGACTATTTTCCATTTACTTTGTTCTAACCGTATTTGGTTACGTCTGGGTTCGTTGTATTGAACTTTCAGTGTATAGCTTACAGTTAGTATAGGATGTATGCAAGGGAAAAGCTGGAAAAAGTGGCTGAATGCATTGTGCTACAAAGTTAGGGGTGGCAGGTTCAAATCCCCAGTCTCTCTCAAACCGAACATTTATTATTATTTATTTATTTGCATCTACCTCAAATTCTTACTCATGGACAACACTGATTTTTCGCACACAACCTATGACGTCGCTGTTGTTGCTGACAACGACACCGGAATTTATGTTAAACGAGCTTCTTAACGTTACCACATTAAAGATTAAAGTGCTGTTTATTGCAGCTGCTGTATATGAAACCGCCATTGACATTAATGTGACCATTGATAATGTTCTTGCTGTTCACATGTGTAATATAATAACTAAAATAGCTAGACGCAGCCTCTAAAGCTGTGGTTGCCAAGGGCGCGGTTAGTGGATGGCGACCATGCTTTCCTGAAGAGACTGCAACCAATGTGTTGTCGCATGCAGCAGTGGGCATGAAGCATTCTGGCTTTCATCTCGTTACCACATGGTTCACTCCATTAACGGTGGCAGTGCAGATTGTGCCACCCCATTTCTGTTGGATACAAACACTGTTCTTGCTCTTTTGTTTTGCACATTTATGGTGCTTAGTACGCTCCAAGGACCGTCCCAGTTGACTGGGTTGCAGCCAAATGTAATTTAGTTAGGGAGAGTTTAATGCCTTTAAACAAAGATCAAAAATTGAGTCCGAATTAAGATACTAGTTTAATAAATAATGTTGTTTCCTTGGCACTGATAGCATACAAACCTTTGATTATTTGAGCCGCTTCATGGTGCCACCACTATAGTCATTGACGTACAAGCACTCTAAAAATTACCGACATACAGTAGACTTGCGATAATTCAAACTTTGATAATTCATACTTTCAATTGATTCAAATGAAATTTTATTTTTTGGTTGGCCCTCTATTTTTCAATGTATTCAAAAGCCTCTTAATTCAAACTCTATCATTCTATTAATTCCTACTTTTTGCAGTTCCATACCAGAAGATATCTGCTGCTTTCCCACTATTATTCAAAAATTTGCGTGCTTATATAATTCTAACAGCCTAAAAATGAAAAATAAGTGCCTCAGGCCTTCAAGAAAAACTAGTAAACAGATTAGAGTATAAAGTTGGGCATGTTGGTAACATAATTAATGACATAGCGCGTAAAATATGTGAGACACAGGAGCACTTCCCTATGTCCCTTCCCTTGTCTTGTGTCTCACATATTTCACGTGCTAGATCATTAATTGGTAAACAGATGTTTGAAACGAAGAACACCCATATTAAACCATGATGCTTCTTAACTGGTATAGAGAGCTTTGTGAGGCACATGTAGCAAAGAAGCAGTAGTAAAAGGCCTGATCAGGAGGCCTGATCGCAACCCTGCTTTCTGCTCATTGCGTTCAGATAGGGTTTAAAAAACGCTTAAAACATTTTTGAATCTCATAAAATCAATGCTTAATCATAATGTGGGGTGTCACCTCACCCACATCATATATCTCAGAACTTCTGATAATTCATACTTTTTGATAATTAAAACGAAATTTAGAGATCCCTTCGAGTTTGAATTAACGATGACTGTATTAGAGTGAGCCATTCGTTGCTGTTGTACTAATATGGTCAGTAGAATGGGCTATCTGTATTAATGTCATTTGCTTGCATATAATTGACGTGGTTGCAATATGGTCAATAGAATGGCCTATCTGTATCGGTGTCATCAGAGTCGGTGGCAATTTAGAAAGCCACATCTTTTATGAGAAAGTGCATGAGGCTGGCCTTGCGAAAATGTTCCAGCAAAGTGCATTAGGTACAGACCGAAATGATCAGAAACACGTTCATTTTACTGATGTGATGAGGACATAGTTATGGAGAAGGCTCCCTTGTCACTTGCTTGACCTCGTGTTCTTGCTTTTAGGCCCCACCTTCAGTGCCAGCAGGTGTCTTCTCGCCAGAGTTCAAGGACCTCGTTGACCGGTGGTCAGTAACACTCGTCAAGCTTTTTTGCTCTTCTTGCAGCCTTTTTTATTCTTTTCAGTACATTTCTTGCTGTATTATTCTTGTTTTGCTTTCTTCTTGTCATTTGACTGGGCTTTCTTATTCTTTTCTTGTTTACACCTGTTCACATGCAACCAACCTATTGCGGCGTTAGATGACTGCAAACTATTTGTTTTTGTGGTTTGAACAAGCTCAGTGTGAACAAGCTGAGCTTGTTTGTGCTCAGGAAGCAGAACTAGTAGTGTTAGGGATCCTAGCTTTTTTACTGTTTATAGATTGCTTACAATTAAAATTATAATAACTTTTTGAAGAGGTGTAAGGTCTGCTTTCTTGTAAGAGGTTGAAGGTCATTTGAAACACCCGTAGTGCTTAACGGTCCATACAAAAATGATGGCATGGCACATCCCCTTGATGCATAATGACCACATATGTGGACGCAGCTTATTTCAGCCATTTCTTTGGATGAGTGGCCAAAAGAAAGTGCAAGGTGCACATAGCACATAGCATGAGTCGAACCTTCTGCACAGTCAAAATGTGGCTTCACTTGACCTTAACACGTTTGAAACCCATAATAATTGGTGGGGAAAGCAAAACATTTCGCTCTTGCTTCACTACTGCGACAATGTGGCAGAAAAAACACACACACACACAAAATTGGCTAGAAACACATTTTATTGTTGAAAGTCAATAAGCTAACTTTGCCAAGCCTTTTGCAGCAGCAATTTCATTGCTCTTGACTCGCATTGTAAAAAATGGTTTATTGCCACATCGTCATGTGCTGTATTTAATGCAGTTAATGTTATGCGATTAGATGATTTGCACACACTCATTTAAAAAATTTTGTTGATGAGGGACTGCGGTAAAGATAAGTATTGTATTCGCTAGTTATGAAATGCACCGACTCCTATGGGCGTACGCCGGTGCTCCGAAAATATTTTGTTGTGGCGAGAATTTCGTTCCCTTCGGATTTTCTTATTGTGGGTATTGACTTTATGCTGTGTACGACTAGCTGGTCAACTTTGTGAAAGAACTGCGATGTTTATTGGATTGTTTGGCATGCCACATTCTAAGACCAATCTCGGAAGCATGCTTGATAATCACTACAACCAAATACGGATGTGCATGCATACAAAGCCTGTGATTTGGTTGTTTTTATGCGAAAATAGAGCATGACTGGCTGCAGAATATTTGAATATTTAATCATATGCCAATTGCTCATTAATTACTGAAACTATTAAGTATTACTACCTACTAAAAATGAAACCACATAGTGCTTCATTTTATTTCTCGTAACGTAGTGTCGACTGCCTTGTAGTTACATTGCACAAATTTGACACATTTGCAGACAGTACATCATAATTCGTGCCTCAAGAAGATATTTTTCTTAAAAGTAGAGAGAGCTGAGCAAGCTTACATGATCACTTTATGCACTGTTTATTAATCATGCTATGTTTTTCATCTTATTTTGTTTGACATCGCAGCTTGAAGAGGAATCCAAACGAACGAGGAGATTTAAAGACATTAATGGTATGTAAGGTGGTTTCATTGCTTCAGAGGGCCAAGCATTCTATATACAGTGAAATCTCGTTGTAGCAAATCTCAGATTAAAATTTCTTATAGATTAATGTATACTTTGAAAAAATAAATAAAACTTCTAATTGATTATTGGTCTAATGCAAAAATATTTCCCTACTATGAATTTCATTATACCGGATGTTTCAGAATTCTTCGGTATGGTAATAAATCGTGAATTTCATAAGTTGCACACAGCTGTGTGAACAGTGCCTAGCTTCATATGAGACCAGTGGCTGTATACATGTCACTATCGTCATCACAAGCCAGCTTATTTTGCTATGTTTTCCATGTTCTGAATGTGGGATAGCCCTTTCAGCACCACTATCACCTTTACTTCTTGTCGAGCTTCACCTAGCTGCCTTTGCTTCTTCAGCTAGTTACGTCTGTACTTACTGCACAGCTGTTTTGTGCGTCGTTAGCCTTGTGTGTGGACGTTCGCGGCGAGTTCTGGAAGCTGCACGAAAGGAACACGGCTGCAATTACGAGAGGTGTCTCATTCAGCAAGGCAGCGAAATATGCAATGTAAGTGACTTCTGGGATGAAATCTGAAAAATTCTTCGTGTATGCTTTAGTAACGTTTGAACACTACGTGCTGTGCAAGCGGTGCTACGATCAAGTACGCACATTGACTAAACTGACGAGCAAGGAGATCGACGCCATTTTTCGTGATCAAGGAAGCAGCGACAAGGATGACTGGTTGTTAAGACAAGGCTGAAACAGTGCACATGAACTAATGTGAAGAATGCATATCAAATGCCATATTTCAAAGTGCATAAGCATGCACACTTTGAGGAGCCTGTTTTGCAGCAGTTATGCTCCATCTATCGGGCCAATATCACAGTCTTAAAATTAATTTGCACTTGTTCTGGATTACTTCATGTTTTTTTTTTCCGGTCTTGTGAGAGAATAACGCAATAACAGACGCATATCCAGCAAAGTTCAGATGACTCCTTTTTGTTGCATTTACAATTTTTAGAATGACCTTTTTACATTTTTTACAAGAACATTTTTTTTTTCAAAGTAAGAAATGATTTTAATGGACCTATGAGATTTGCTGAACAGAGATTTGACTGTACGCTGAATATTGAGAAGTGGAAAATACACGTATGTTGTGCTATGTATTATGTCTTGGCTGATATAGTATTCAGCCTGCCTTTTAATGCGGATTTATTTTGGAGTGTAAACAAGGAAAGGAGGAAGTTGACCAATAGTTTCCTACCATATTTACTAGAAGGAGCTCTGGCACTGTGATCGTTGACCCCCCCCCCCCCTCGAGGAATGATTAGCAGTACACGGATTTGCCTAATCTTAGTGTTTGCAGCTTCAGATACACTTGTGGCTTCATTTGCTTTGTTTGGCACTTATGCTAGGTAGGTGGTTGTGAAGTTCGTGCCCCGACTTGAATTGGTGCGCCCTAAAAATCAAAGGGGTAGGGTGTAAACGAGCGTTTTGCTGAACTTTGTCTTGTGACAAAGCGGCTGCAGGTCAAATGAAGCCAAATAAAAACAAAAAAAAATGAAACTTTTACACGTTTGTTTACTACCAATCTTTTATGCTGGTGCCGTGCGCTGCAGCTCCAATCGACACTGGCGCCACAGTTCTTCCTAGTAAATATTATAGGAAACTTTGTGGGATAACCCAATAGATTCGCAATTTTCTGCCAACGTAGTGTTAAAAGGAAAGGAGAAAAAAAGCAGGAGGACACGTACTGTGTCGGATCTTCGTTGTCACAAAGTTTGTTGGAGGGCAAAACATAATTTGTTGATGCAAAATCTCACTTGCTCTTATTTTATGGCACTCAAAAACGAAAATTCGGCGAAGAGTGGACCAATGATAACTATACACAATTGGGTAAACACATCATCGTTTACCATCATTTTTGTTTTGTACAAAATCAACATGGAGGCTGCACTTCATATCTTTTTCGGACTTGTAAGCAGCCTTTTTGACCTTTTTTTCATAATGCAGAAGTGTAGCAGGATATGTATCTACATCCTGATAGATATACTTTTCACTACTGGCTACATAATCGAATTATTTCTCACTAGTAAGCTCATCAACAAGTAATTGTCTGCCACAGTATAGCTGGTAGATTTGATTCCAGCCTGTGGGTCATAGTAAAATCTCATCCTCGGCGTGGTGTTTTTTAAGCATTTTCAACATATAAAGGTAAGCATGTTTGACAGAGCTCTGTCTGCGTAGGTAAAGTTATACGAATCAACGTGAAAATTTTAATACTAATAACGATAGACTGGCTGGAGAGTCTGTTTATTCGTTTTCAAGATACCATGACTTACAGTACATAAAAATATTGCTTGGTGTGACTTATGGAGATTTGTAACAAAGGAGAATCATTTTGGGGGGGGCTCGTTTTTATCAGATTCAATTGAGTGAGTCAAACAGATAATGGCCTTTCTTTGTTCAAAGTAGATATGTATATCTATATTCACATTGGATGGGAGCACAGATGGAAGCCAAGCACTGTTGAAGACGTGCTGCCAGTACTTTAAGGCAGGAATGAAAAGATGCAATGCATACTTGTTCTCGTGGGGTGCCTGCTGATGGCTGTATGGCTGCAGTCTGCAATGCTTTGTATGCGTTAGACACAGGTGCCATATCAACTGAGCTCCCTGCTCACCGTGCTTTGGTTTTATTACAGCTACAGTAAAACCTCTATGATAAAAAATCTCGTGGGGTCACCAAAAATATTTGTATCAATCCGAAATTAATATCGCCAGAAAGCATAGAAAAGTAATCATGAAAAAATTTTTTATTGTTTCTCAGGGCCACGGCAACATCATGAACAGTCCTGAAGGATTGCCAGTAAAGATTTTATATGTCAGCTTGCTCTATAATATTCGGCATGTGTAAATACTGAACCAGGTGTGTTGTGACCCATGACAGCTATTGGTCCCTTCTTATTCGTAGTGCGCTTTTCCACATGGCACCAGAGTACTACGGCAAAGGTGGCTTTTAGGAAGCGCTTTGCATGCTAATGATAAAAGCTAGGAAATTTTGGAATGGCTTTCCTTTATTGTTATTATTTTCCTTTCATGTTGGGGATGTTTTTCAGGACATTTTTGTCCGTGCCCGGACAATCAGGATGGTTGCTCTAAATTTGGGAGTCTCCTGTGCAAATCGGAGTTGGCAGCTGTGTGAACATCCCTAACAATCATGCATGTTTATTCTGCAAGGCCAACGAAAACCATTCGCTTCCCCTTTCACTGCTTGTCCATCTTTCATAGTATATAGGATCATGAAGACGTGGCTTTATCAACATGGCAGGCACATGTACACATAAAATGACTGCAGTATGCGTCACTGTGTTAAAAAAAAAAGAAATAGTGACGTCAACGTCATATGTAGGGTAAAAGTGAAGGCACACCAAAGCTCATTAGGGCGTCTAAGATTCGTGCACACAGTCTCGGACGCTACAATGCGTCGCTGATGTTTATTCTGGTAAACTGGCCGCGCAGTGCCCATGGCTGCGCGTGCTTGTTGTGTCTTCTCTGACAGCGTGGGCAGCACCTGTTTGTACCTACTAAATGGCTTCCATCCATATGGAACATCATCGCGTGATAATCACTTTGCAACGAATGTACCTCGTTACAATGTAGGCCAGTGGGCCTTGGCTAGGATCACAGAAAAATTCTTTTATCACTCTAAAATTCGCACGAGCTGCGATCGTATCACCGGGGTTTTATTGTAGCTGGTTACTTGTCTTCCTAGTTACGTAGTTACCTGTTGCCCTAATTACCCGAGCCAAAAGACCCTGGATTAAGCAATGTTTGGTGCCACTAAAATTCTGCATATGTGACTAAATGGTGTTACCCTTAAGGAGCAATCTGATCTACTTGCAGAACCATCCATATGTGCGGACATCAGAGCAAGAGAAAGTGGATTTTGCGGGCTGGGTGTGCCAAACAATGGGCTTGGACCCCTCGACTCCAACAAAGCTTACTCCGGAGGGACAGGCCTGACCTCCATAATGGTCAAAAAGAAAGCAATGGAGGAGCACAGCTGCTCTCAGCCTACCAAGACGGCCAATACGTTTGCAAAAGGGCCGAACACGCGTGCGATCCAAGCCCACACGTCTCTTTCTCGTGGGCACAAGGCTTTGTCTGGGTCTGCCGCTCCCCCTCTCTTCTCTTTTCCTGTCACCTTTCTGTTGCCTCCTAGCTATGTCTCCATCTGGGGCACAAGGTTCACCACTGGCCATCACGGGGATGGATAGATCAAATGTATGTACCTGCACATCACAGTTGTAGATGGGAAGGAACCACAGCAGTGCGGTTGTTCGAAAACCTTTAGAGGACAGATGTTAATATGCATTGGCTGACAGATTCTGTAGGTTTGTGCATATAGTGGAGCAGTTTGGAGAGGATGTGAAGGGCAGTTTGGTGGACGCCTGCTTTATCCTTGCACACATGCAGCAACAGTAGGAGAAAGTGGATGAAATTCTCGAAATCACTCTGCCCAATGAAAACTTCAGATAATTGAAACACATGAGGATAACCCTTCTTGGTTAATGGGGTTCGTTTCTTTTTCGAGGAGCGATTGATTTCACACTGCAGGTGTGTGTATAGAGAGGACAGTTTTTCTCCATCATTAAACGTCGTTTATCATTCAGTTTTGCAATAAAGGAGCTGGCCTTCTGTTCAGCATGCTAGGGAACTCTTTCATGTTGCTGCAGTTCTGCAATGCAGTTTACATAACTGTTTTGCAAATGTTAAGGCTACCATAGTCTTTTCTTTCACAGACACAAAGTAATAGCATGCACTCTCCACTGCAGGTAGTTTCAAGGTTAGGTACAGTACAGCTGTCTTTTAGTCCTTTTACCATTCATGCCATGTAGCTGCAGTTCATGCTGTTGCTTTTGCTACTCATACTTGGGTCAGAAACAGGCTGCGGAGTATTACGTTCCATTGAATGTTATTGCTTCCTTGTGTTGTTCAGGTCGTTGTGAACTATGGCCAAGCGCTTCATCATTGAAGTTGTAGCTTACTTGGCAGAACTTGCACCTGGTATGAATCTCAGTGCTTCTGCATTGGGTTGTGCAGCACTTCCTATTTCTTGTTCCTTCTCGTGTGATGACTTGTGCGTGCAGTGTGTGCTCTAGGTGGTGTTAAAAAAAAGCTTGTTCGGCAAGTTATTACATGGCATACTCTGTATGGGCATGCCCGCTATGAAAGAAGAGGATAGTTGAAAACATCTTGTGGCAAGAGATGGATGAAGGAACAGGAAAGGTGTTGACTAAAAGGAACATTGACACAGCAATCTTGCCTTTCACTGCATCACGGGTACTTGTTAACTCCGTAACTAGAACATGAAGATGTATGTGGAAGCTGCTAAATGGGTTCATGCGTTTGTGTTCAAGCTCTTTGATGCATTCGACACAGTATAAGCCTGGCTGCTTGTTGTCTCTTGCAATGGAATTCCGCGTGCCTTTATTTTGTCCTCCTTCCACTTTTCATATTCTGTGTAGTTCTGAATGTTCTACCAGTGGCTCAGTGTTGCTTTTCACCACTGATTATGGGCTCTTGAGCCCTTATTTCAGTGGCTTACAATGCCATGAGACTACAATCTGATCTCCGTAATGCAACATATGGCATGCTTAATGGTTGCAGCTTCACTAATGTTGATGTATGTCTCGAACTGGCTGCACAAAAAAGTGATGTTGGTAAACTTTTGCAGGTTCCATTCTGTAAGCATAGAATTGGCACCTAAGTAACAAAGTCACTTCTTGAACAAGAAATTAAGTTGCAGCGAATGGAAACTAGGATCTCTGGGGATGTGTGAGGCTTTTTATTTGCTTTACCTTGCTGGATGCAACATCGTGGCAGGGTAATGTAGCCTGAAGCATAATTGAAGGCATTTTTAAATAATTGTTCATGTGTTGACTTTGCTTTGACCAGGCAGTGTTCAAGGTTGTGGCTTGGAGAAGGTGAATGCAGCTTGACAGCATTTTATGGCTTGGTTGTAAATGCGGCATTGTTTTGTTGCATTGCAAATTGTTTTAGTGTCCATTTTCAGTGTTAGCCATTACCACAGATTACATTTTTATGTTGGATTGCATTGAGAATAAAAGATTGCCAGTGCAGCTATTGGATGCATAACATAGGCAACACATACGATTTAAAAGCAAGCTTCTCTAGGCTGAAAAGTAAAACCTGGATTGTTAGTTATTAAATGTAGCATTGCCTGCTGACCAATGCATGAAAATATTTCTTAAGCTGATGCCCCCAGGTTTCTCTTTTTTTTTCCGAATGTCTACAAAGCTTGTACTTGCATCAGAGTAGGTTTCAAGTGAAGCTGCATCACAAATACAGCTTTGCTGCTGCTGTAATGTAGGCTCCACCACTTCGATCTTCTAGTGTGACAGTACCGAGACGCTGTCACTGCAGCCCTATGTTGGCTACATACCCGCGCTGCACATTTGGCAGTCACAATGCATGGGGTTAAAATAAATTTGCATTGGAGTGTTCATACATGTACTCTCCAGCTAGGAGCTAAAAATAAAGTGCTATGTTTGCACACGTGTGACACCCTGACAGTGATGTTGGTAATGTCTCTGCAGTGCAACTTCTCTGTTCACGCTGTTGCTTGCATTTGTGCTCTTTGCCCTTGCTGGAAGCAATGTTCATTGAAAGCACCTTTGTAATTCAGTGCAGTACCTTTATTGCACATAAACCGCAGTTTTTAGAGTAGTTGTTCTTGCGTTAACACTCCTCTACTATGCATTACGTGATACATAAGTAATGTGCAAGCTGAAGAAAGTGGCCTGTTGGTGTGCAGATAGGAAGCACCTGTGAAACAGTGGACATTGATTGTCTTTTTTAGGTCTCACAAGCATAGAGTATCGTTGTTCTTGCTTGTGAATTTTCGTTTACGCTGTGGGACATCTTATGGCATGCCACCTTAGCCGTCTTTAAAGGTGGAGAATCATGTGGCACTCCTTGAAAGTGGACTGAATTCAAAAGGTTTCAGCAGCTTGGCCATCCTTAGGCTAGTTTGGTCATGTTATGGACGTGGCATCGCACAATTTCAAGATGGCAGCATCTTGTAATTACACAGGGTTAATTGTACCATTGAGCTGCCGATTCACTTCTGGCCACCTCACGAGCAGTTTGTCTGTTGCAAAAACTATAGTCGTTCTTGAAAGACGGACTGATGTGCCTCTACGGAACAAATTGCAGCAGCGTGGAATTTCGCCCAGTCACTACATGTCACATTTTTGGCAACGGATTGGTTATGTCACAGCCTACTGTACAGCCTTTTTTGAGGGACTCCTCAACTTATTGACAGCGATAATGGTCTAGTGGTTCATGCCTGCAATGATGCTTCGCAGTGAGTGAAAAGTGTTGTTGATGAGACTGGCAGTAGGCACAGCTTTGTCCTCGCTGAGGTGCGTGTACCGAAGAACATGCGAGGTGGAAAAACAAAAGGCCACTGTGTGTTCTGGTAGAGTACTCTAGGAAACATTCCCAAGTGCGTGTCACCCTCGTATAAACTTTTATTTATTGAAGCAATTGTTTCATCTTTCTTTTTGTGTGCGTGGTTTGTTCTGGCTCCTGCTGCCTTGGGGCCTCATTTTTTGAACAAGAGCACATATGCGGGCAAAACGGAACAAGTTATGCATCTTGGGGAGAGCTGTGGAGCAGCTATCGGGTCTACTATCACAAGCATAGAGTTTAACTCTGCGCGACTGCACTGTGTCTGAGTGTGTTATATTTTATTGGTGCATGCCTTCCTGTTTGGGAGGAACACACTTACTACAGCTTTGTGGTGGCAACTGAATGGACAATGCTCATTTTCCTTTCTCGTGCGCAGACGTTCTATCAGTTGACAATGGCCACTTTGTATCTATTGTTTCCAAAATGTTTGTGTTGCTCGTCCGAAAAGATCGTGTTGCTCTCGACACTTTTTTTTGTGTAGGGGCAGTTTTTTTTGGTTAATGTAGCAAGAAGTGGTGAGGGGTCTGAAAAGCAGCAAGCATTTTGTTGACCAAAGAAATCCTTTGCTGCAACTCTGCAGGTGATATGACTATTTTAAAATATTTGAGTTTGAATAAAGTGGCCCGTGCATGAAAGTATACTTGGCTCTGACTGACTGTCTGGTAATATTGAACTTGGGAAAGTTTTTCAAAGCAAGAGTGGAGTCTCTGCTAGCGTTGCCAATAATGCAGAACTGTCGCACATTACGTTCTGCATCTTAATACACTTTGTGCCTAAGCTTCACACCAGATGGGGTTCACACCTTAAGCTGTAGAGGGAAACGACTATAAAGATTAGTGAAGATTGTAGGGTCTCGAGAAATGTCGCGCTCTCGGAAGGAATGAAGACGGCAGACTGGGTAGAGAAAGCCAAAACATGTACCTTTATTCACTTGCTTTTACAACGACGATATCGCCAGCCGAATCAGTTACATCACTAGTGAAACGCTAAACGACCTTATACAACATGCCAACACGACACACAAACTACATGAGGTACCGCGAATGCGGCGTCGCTGACGGTTGACGCCTTACGAGGGACCCATGGGAAATGACCCGCAGTGCCGCCCCATGCCCCCCCCCCCCCCCCACCGCAAAAGAGACGACCGTCGACTTCCGCTGCCAAACCCCAAAAGGACTCACTTCCGTGCACCGACGGCCGCCTAGATCGGGCGGGCGCGGCGCACGCGCCCGATCCAGGCGGCCGTGGTCGTGGCCTCCGAGATTAGCCGGCAGCGACGGCGCGCCGCTGGTTAAAATCCCGGCGGCCACGCCGTGGTGCACAAGCCTTGCCTCTCCGCCGCCAGTATCGCGGCGCTTCTGGCGCTTAATCCGCGCTTTAACCTACGCTGAAGCCCCTACAACATGAAACATACTCCTCCACGCGCGCGCTTTGCTCCTCGAATTTCGCGCGCCGCCGGCTAAAATCCTGGCGGCCACGCCGTGGTGCACTGGCCTTGCCTTTCCGCCGCCAGTATCGCGGCGCTTCTGGCGCTTAATCCGCGCTTTAATCCACGCTGAAGCCCCTACAACTTGAAACATACTCCTCCGCGCGCGCGCTTTGCTTCTCGAATTTTTCTCCTCTGCTGGCCGGCGCGCCGCGCACGGCACGCTGAATCCCATTATTGTCTCGCTGTAGGTGCATTAGGACCAATGCGCGCGCTTGTTTAAACGGCTCCTTGAAGCATGTTACAAAATTCTGTCGCTTAAAAAAAAAAAACACCGAGACGAAACTGTCGTCCAGGTATATACAACACAGGGGCAGATACATTTTTAATGCGCTTCGAGAAATAATGCAGAAGCGCTTGAAAAAAAAAAAAAACTAGTATCAACTAGCGACTTGGCGGTTTAACACTTTCATGACCGCGCCTATCCCCATCGATAGTATGTTTTCGATGTGCACAACTTGTATATTTGCCCTGTTTCGGACGCTTTTGGACCTCTTGCGCCAACTAAAACGTAAAAAAAAGTATTTTATCAGTTTTGCTTTTGTGTTTATTTTTTTTTTCACCGTGTGGTGATATTGAAGCGCCCTTCCATGCGTGCGAGTGAGCGTGGATAGTTTCAATCATGGCGTCGACGTCGCGTGTGACCGCTTCACGAAAACGGCGAATTTCGGGGGTTTCTCGTGCACCTGGGCTGGAATAGTCTAATGACGACAACAGCACAGGCTCGGACGACGACATCAACACTTTCAATTTCAGCGCGGACGACGAGGGTTCGTCAAACCACTCGTAGAGTTACTGTATATGCTACCTGTATATGCTACTTAGCATATAATATAACTCTAACCACCTCGGAACATCAGCGGTAGTCCACCGGTGAGTCTAGTGCTCGGGCCGCGTTATTGCCGGCGTGCGTCGGTGTAAGTTGAGCCGATGTGTTTTCAAGGTTAGAGCTCTTTATATGCGTAGCGCCCACTTTCTTCGGGCGGGACTACTTGCCGGCGGCAGCGCAGGGAGTGCAGTGTGGTAGGTGTTCTGTGGTGCAATTTCGTGCGCGGAGGCAGCCGGGCATGGAGGAAGAAGCAGCCGGAAGTGAACCTTGGGTAGATGGATGGATATGGCTGTACCCTTTGGATCGGGCGGTGGCTAGCACCACCAAGCCGTAATACTTAATGAACCAAAAACTAGATTCATTTTTTTCCCCTTAAATAGTTAGGTTGAGGATTCGTACTTTGCAGTGAAGGGTTTAATTTTCACTCGTGCCTTGACTTGAACCACCAATCAGATAACCTCCTTCTAGTTAATTCTACCCGCTTAAAGTCTATTTTGCCCTGCCTGTCCCTAAACCCCAGTTCTATGAAAATGAAAAAAACTCTGCGCCATCATCCTTAACTATAGCGTGAAGCCCTTTACAGAACATTATCAAGTGTTCGGCAGTTTCTTCTTCCTCTCCCCACGCACTGCATACCGTGTCTACCCCTTCGTATTTGGCCCGATATGTCTCGGTTCGCAATACTCCCGTCCTGGCCTCAAACAGTAGAGAACTATCCCGAGTATTACCATAGATCCTTTCCCTGGCAATTTCCTGCTTAAAAGTTCGGTAGATCTCTATTGCGGACTTCTTAATCATGCCAGTTCTACACATATCGGTCTCAGCTTCCTTCACCTTCTTCTTAACCGATAATTCTTTTTGGTTTGGACCCCTGCTGTTTTCCAAGTATTTACCAGTCAATTTTCTGGTTCGCTTCCTCCATTTTGTATCGACATTTTTCATGTACAAGTAACTAAAAACCTTCCTAGCCCAACGCTCCTCCCCCATTTCTCTCAATCGCTTCTGAAATTTTATCTTGCTGCTAGCTTCCCTGCCCTCAAATGATGTCCATCCCATATCACCTTGTACTCCCTGATTTGGTGTATTCCCGTGAGCTCCCAAGGCAAGCCTACCTATTCCACGTTGCTTAATTTCTAATCTTGCTTGAACTTCTGATCTCATGCACAAGACCGCATTGCCGAACGTCAGATCAGGAACCATGACCCCTTTCCATATTCCTCTCACAACTTCATACCCATTGTAATTCCACAGCGCCCTGTTTTTCATTACCGCTGCATTCCTGTTACCTTTAGTCGACACGTACATTTCGTGTTCCCTTAGGTACTCGGCCCCATTGCTTATCCATACGCCCAGATATTTGTATTTATCTGTTATCTCTAGCGTGACCTCCTGTATTCTAAGTCCACTACCTTCATTATCATTCAAAATCATGACTGCTGATTTTTCCTTACTAAATCTGAAGTCTAACCTATCTCCCTCATTACCGCAGATGTCCACCAATCTCTGCAAATCTTCCTTGTTGTCGGCCATTAGCACTATATTATCTGCGTACATCAATGCTGGTAGTGCCTGTTCAATGAGTTTTCCTTGTTTGACGAAAGAGAGGTTGAAGCCCAGTTTACTTCCCTCTAATTTGGCCTCCAATTCTTGTAGGTACATCATAAATAATAAGGGTGACAGGGGACACCCCTGCATAAGCCCCCGTTTTACCTCTGCAGGCTTGGATACCTGTTTTCCCCAGTTTATAATTACCTTGTTACCTTTATAGATATTCTTTAAAAGATTAGTGACTACATCTTCCACGCCTAGTGTGTCCAGTATTCCCCACAATTCCTCTTGAACCACGCTATCGTACGCTCCCTTGATATCCAAAAATGCTTGCCACAGGGGCCTGTGTTCCTTTTCTGCTATTTCGAGGCACTGCGTCAGTGAGAACAGATTGTCTTCCAACCTCCTGTGTTTCCGAAACCCATTCTGCAGTTCCCCCAGCACCCCCTCATCCTCTATCCATGCCTGCAGTCTTTTCTTTATAATCTACATCGCCAGCCTGTAGACCACTGATTTCACTGTTATAGGACGGTAGTTGTTTATGTCAGCTTTTTTCCCCTTTCCTTTATAGGTCATGCTCATCCTGCTAAGTTTCTATCCATCGGGAACTTCTCCATCGATTATTATTTCGCTCACTCCCTCTCTCAAAGCCTGCTTAGACTTCGGATTTATTGTCTTTATCAGCATAATTGGAATGCCATCTCGGCCTGTTGATGTACTACTAGGAAACCTTTTCTCAATCCTTTCCCACTCTTGTTTTGAAAATGGAGCCATTGCGCCACTTGATTCATCCTTGTCTATTGTGGTGCATAAAGCTCTTCTTTGTTGAAATTTTTCTGTCATCCTTGTTCTTATATATGCAATAGCTTCGTCCCCTTCTAGCCTAGCACCTTGAGCTGTAGTTATAAACCTCTGCTCTAGGCTCGACTCATTTCTTAGGGAGTTTAGATGGTTCCGAAATTTCGCAGCTGCCTTTCTATTTTTTTTATGTACTTCTGCCAGCCACTGAGCTCCCTTTCTTCTAATATTTTCATTGATCAGAAGGGATGCATTCCTTCTACAGCTTAAAAATATTTCCCATTTTCTTTCAACATCATCTGTCGGTCCACTCCGCTGCTTAGCATGTCTGTGTTCCCTAGAGGCTTCCTGACGTTTTGCTATGGATCTCTTAAGTTCCTCGTCCCACCAGCTTTTGGGTTTGTGTCTTCTTTTCCGGGGTGACTTGTGATGTGCCTTAGCAAGCTCTAGCTCAAACAGCCTAATTAGATTTGTGTATGTCCACACTGTTTTATTAAACTCAGTGATTGCTTTCTCAATTTGTTTAGTGGCTATTTCAATTTGCCTTTCTGAATAAAAATTTTCCTGTAGTTGCTCATCTTGTCTCCTTCCAACTTTCACTGCTCTTCCAAAACTTAGCTTGATACGTTTGTGATCACTATCAAGACTTCTGGAGCCACCTTCATCTATGTGCATTCCCCTGAGCTTATCATACATCCTATGTGACATCAGTGCGTAATTTATCGTCGACTGCAGCCTTCCTACCTCCCATGTTATTTGCCCTTCACACTTCTCGGTACTGTTGCAAATGATCAAATCAAGCCTTTCACACATATCCATGATCATTTTGCCTGTTGAGTCGGTATACCCATCTATATCTTCTATGTGCGCATTCATATCTCCTTGTATAATTATCTCGCACTCTCCTCCTAACTCCTAGATGTCATTTGATATACACTCTACCATTGCCTGGTTTTCCTTTCTGGCCTTTGCTCCCG